AGTTTTCGAAAGAAAGTCGTCCTGCAAATTCTGATTCACTCATGATCACACTGTGTTCACCTGCGCCACCTGTCTCACTGTTGATCATGGAGTGACTCCAATGAGCGGCATTAAAATTCTCAATGTCTCCCTGCCTCCAGTCCGCGGCTTCTAATGCAATGTTCTTCGAGCATTCCAGGGCCAACCGTTGCGTAGAATCGTGGATAATATTCTTGAAAACGTCTTGTCTTCCTTGCAGATCTTTCTTTAGTCCAGATGACACGCTTCGTGAATGCATAGGCAGAAGACTTTGGTGAAGACGAAAATGATAACTGCTGTTTAACCACATCCCTTCAACCACAAGCTCCAACTTTGATCGTTAGATTTTCGAAAGAATCGATACTCATAGCCAAGCATGGGTTGATGAAGATTCCAGCTCCATGGACTTATGTGTTGCCGCTCGCTTCGCAGCACATTTTTTTCTCTCGAGTTATGGACGGCGTTAAATCGGTCGAGTCTTCCCGTTACAACCAGTTCGACGACGTCGCACCTAAGCCTCCTGTACCATTAGTTCTTTTGTACAAAATTCATATGTAGGCAAGCGATACTATGTTAATATTTTTACCTCCCTGAGTGTGCCATCGGCGTGTGTGACACTCTAGTTTGAAGTGTGTTGAAATAATCACGCCATTTTTGGTTATACTCCGAGTTGTGGGCAAAGCTTTCATCCTCTCATGATTTGTGCCAGAACAGCAACAGGCATCATCTCCGCGATGTTTAACGATGTCCATTGCATGGTGGATGTCTATGGTAGTGATCAACACCAAATGCTATTTATGCATTTTAATTCAAAATTCACATATCAAACCAAAGGTGGACACTCATATGGTGCCAGTATCACGACGATTTATGACTTTTACTTAACCTTGGCACAGGCAATTAGTGTCTATCTTTTTTAAGCCATCATGAGGTGGATATAAGCCTCTGTTCTGGTAATGTTTTGGCGCCTCCGCTTTCCTAAGAGCCATAATGACTAGAATCAGTTGACCACAGCAGTCCGACTCGTTGAGACTTCAAAGAACAAAGAATGTTTTGGCGCCTCCGCTTTCCTAAGAGCCATAATGACTAGAATCAGTTGACCACAGCAGTCCGACTCGTTGAGACCTCGTAAAAAAGATTGGCTGTTGGCAATCAACTCGAATCAAATCATTTCGTGTCTGAAAAGTGAAAGGTGTAAAAACTTGCCGAGAATATAGACTGTGAATCTCAGGATAGCTTTTCAATGAAAAAAGTAGGAATTCGGTGAGTAAAGCACAACAGGCCAGGCAAGTGACCTTTATCGAGGAAGTTACTTGTGAGTTGTACTTTGATAGTTGATACTTGAATGGCCCGTCCTCACTGGTTGTGCGGGCTCAGCATAATCTTCATTTTTTCGGAGTTTTCCTGGTTTAGCCATTGTCATTTCCTGGTATACTGAGTGCAGCCTATCCAAGCCTTGCTCAGGTCTTCACCACCACAAGCAGTCGCAGTCGTTGTGCATCAGAGGAGATCTGCCACCATGTGACTTTGATACCAGGACGGTGGTGGATCCTGGTATTGGTTTACTCTTATCTAGGCTTCCTGATGGAAATGGCGGACTCCTCAGCTTGGGAGATCCTGCCAACCAATGAATCCTCCGTTTTACCCATCTCGCAGTCCTCCACCCAAGAACACCTATCAGCGACGACGAGGCTGTGAACCGTTGCGATGCTTGTGAATTATTAAGTGCCAAAATTAGAAAAATGTATTTAAAAATAAGCTACAAAGGTGCATTGAGCTCTACCTTGCTTCTCTGTATTCACATGCTTACATGAGCTTACTGTAATACCCTATTATGACCAACGTTTGGGTGCCCTCGGCGTCTTCTAAGCTACAATGATTCGGGTCGATGGCTAGCAGGTGCTCGTTTTTCTCTATGAATATAAAGAAGTATTAACAATTTACCCTGAGGCTAATTGGAAAACGGCTGGGATAAAGATCAGCTCCATTTGACATGTTAAAATGGCATAGGCAGCACAGTGGCTAGGGATGCGGTGCAATAGTAGCGTGTTGTGGATGTGGAATTTGGGTGAAGTGCCACAATGTGTATCCCAAAGTTTTCCTCTGTTATGTTTGCTACAAGGGAGCGGATAGCCCTGTGGCAGTGATGTCCGTCATCACTAGCATGGTGCTAGTTCGATTCTGCTTTGGGCCAACGAAACGTCCCATCACTCCAGGATCAGAAGATTTGTACAGAACTTGTCAGGGAAAAAATCCACTTTTGGAGATTCAATTGGGAATGCTCCAGCCCGGCTATCTCAGGACTTCAGGGATCATTTTTCGACCAGCATTCTACGACATTCAAAATGAAATGAAGATCCTCGAATAGCAATCGAAGCCACACGCAAAAGTTGGAAGATCTTCGTTGACCAGGGATGCCAGGAAAGAGATCGAATGTGAGAAGTGCTGGGATCCGCACAGTTGTCGCGAAGATAGATCAAATAAGAAAGATAAAATAAATAAATAAACAGCTTAATAAGATGTGGTATAAATGTATGTATAATAATATGTCGCTTAGTACCCTTTAAAATTATAGTAGGCAGAAAATAAAAAGGTAGAACATTGTGATTTCAACTACAGCCGCAGCTTAACTGGGTTCTATGCCGATTTGGGCGCCGCAGATCAATCCCGCTGACGGGTGATTGCTGTGGCAAAGATCGATAGAACTAGCTGAGAGACAGGCAAAACGAAGGACCCGCACGGTGTGGTGGTGAACGTGTTACTCCCGGGAAAGGACAATTGCGCGTTCGTTCTTCGCCGCAGACATCTGCGGTCCGGAGTTTTGCAAATATCGCAGCATCACTGAAGTTATATTTCACAATGTATACCCTGCCGTTAAAAAGAGTAGGCAGTGAACGATAAGTTAAAATTGTGGTTATAATTGCGGTTTATAAGCTTATGAGTTGTTGTGTGTTTAGGTCCATTTTTGCCTGAACCAAGTACTACACAGCTCTTCACTAAGAAACTATCATGTCCGACGTCATGAAATGGAACACCTGAGAAACTTGGAAGATCTGTCTTGAACTGATATAGGAAGGTGTGCTACTCATGAGTGTTAAATCAGAATTGAAGCCGTGGACGATTTTTTCCGCATTTTAGAAGCAGTTGTTGTTCTACATGGGCATTGAACGGCGATCACCTTCGTCTTTTAATTGACGATATTACGGACATAATTGTCGATACCCTTCCCAATCGCTGCACCAGCGGCCGTTACTGTGTTCATTTCCTCGTCATATTCATTAATCATCTGTCTGAACAGATTTACAAGTTCGGACCCAAGTTGCTGATTGCTTCGACTTGTGGGATTTGCGGCATCAGCTCCAGTATCTTTCGAAACAGATGTTTCTTGGTGATCTTCAACCCATGAACGTGCCAAAATGTCAAGATGACGACCAAAAATTATTACACAGTGGTATGGCTTACTATCACCAATTTTGCGACTTTTCCTCTTTCATGTGAAAAAAANAAAAAAACCAGTGATGAGTATGAAGGCGGCGATAATACGATAACTTCTAGACCAGGCACACCATGATACTTTTCACGTTTTAACGCTGGGTGGATTTAAAGCAAAAGTTGCATTTAAGACAATTCGGTGGCTCAGTGCACACAGCCACCAACCAGGAACTCGAGCATATTACAAACTGTTAGGCATGTTAGTATCACGCCAACGCTTTTTATATTGACGAGTAAGAAAGGATGTTTCTGATCCTTGATGAAGGAAATTTGAAAGAAATAAAGATCTGTGCTATAAAACTTAAATTTGCGTTCACCCTGATTTATTCTATCCGTATCGCCTAAATAGATTTCAATATTATAGAGAAAGAAAAGCTCAGGGCAACGGTTTTCACAGAGTCGCTCTGGATGTCATATTAACACAGGCATAACAAGCACATCAGGCCGCTACAAATAATTGCACCTTCATGCTTTATTGGTGACGATTTGAACTCGAAGCAATCGTGAAACACCAGTTAATACGGTTCAGCTGACTTAGCTTCGTAATCTCGTGAAAACTTAAAATGAAT